AAAAAATCATTTGAGGCTTTTCAAATTGGGGGGTCTTTAAAATGACAAAGACAATTTAGTATAATCCATGTATAGTAGTATATTTAGTGATCCCCTTCCCCAAATATTCCTCCCCTCCCTCTCTCTCTTTCACACACATCAATGGTCAGCCACTAGTTTTAGCTGAACAGGAAAGGGATCTTAAGGCTCTGGTGGGTTACTCAATGTGAATATTAACATAGTGTGCAACTGCAGGGAAAATTGAGGGTACAGAGTGATTAAAAAAAAGTCTTGCAAATCTAGGGAGAAGTCACTTCACTATTCTCCCCATTTGCCTTACCAACAATAGGGTTGAATATGTACATTGCAAAATTCTGCCTGATAACAGATCACTAATGAGTAATGGATAATAAATCAGCCAATTGATTACTTAAATTGTTCTACCAGTAGCATAAAGAGACAGAAAATCTGAAACTCGCTACAATGCATTCCAGTGTATACACTCACCACTCAACACCCTCCAGCTATGCATAAAAAGAGTTTATTCTATTCATATGTCATTCTACAGATTAACCATGTACCTACACACCATAGAACAAATTATCTTGCTTCTTTTCCCTCACTGAAAATGCCTTTACTCCTGTGTGAACTACTCATAGTCTCTTATCACTGAGATCACTTTGAGCTCTTAAATGTCTATCATTAAAGGCCAGCCACCTTTTTATGAGAAAGAAGGAGAGATACAAAGCACCCTCTGAGTTTGCAGAACTTGGAATTTAACTATTGCTTCTTAAGTGAAGAATAACCTTTGAGCTAAGCACCTATGTAATAAGCAGAGACAAATAAGTTCAGCTACCACTGCAGAATTACAGCACTGGAGAACAATTTGCTACATTCCTTCAAAGGCCTGTATGAACCCAATCTCCTAAATAAGTACCAGACACCAAGTGCTCCATAAGCAAACAGAGCCCCCGAAGTGCATAAATGAAATAAGTAAAAAGCTTCACATTACATATAAACCAGCCGTTTGCACCTTGTTATTAATGGTCTTGACTGTGACCTCTGAACCTAGCTTTGCGTGGAGTCACGAATCCTCAAGCTTTGGCACTCCTGCAATAATTCCTAAATGTAGGGAAAGAATAAATAAAGACCCTTAGATTTAGATTAGGTCATACAACACAGAATTTAATTTTAAGAACTGCATCGCTAATCTTTTTCATGAAAGAATTTGCAAAAGTTGTGTGGCATGAAACAACCATGAATACAAGCTGCCTATGGTAGATTGATTTCCAATGGATTTAAAGGACGTACCTAATAAAGTATTAAATGAACAAAATCCTGATGTATTGGGAATATGATAAACCAGCAGAGCAAAACAGGACGTCTAGAATAAGCTCCTCTTCCAGAGAACCATTAGAAGTAGCTATGCAATGGCCTTTTCCAAACTTTTGTTCAATCCATTTCTACATTACAGAATTCATACCAGGACTTGCTAAGTTCTGATTCAGCTAAGTTCTGATTCAGATTTGACGTTCAAGGACAAAATTAGATTTCAGCTGATTGAACAATTGGTTGATTAGAACATAGACCATCATAGGAAAGCACATTGCTTCATTTTTGACAGAATGAGATGAGAGTAGCAGGAATGATAGCCCTTTGGAGGTCATTAACATTGACGATTCCCAGCAATAAATTTGAAAAAAAAAACCTCTCTCCCCATCCCTTTTAAAGAAGAGATAGAATGGATGAGAAAACAATATCCATATTATTTAGCAAAACGACTATAGAGATATTTTACTGAACCAATAAATAAAATGTTTTATCTAAATTGTGGGGCAAATAAAAATAAAAAAAATTCAACTATCTTCTCAGTACTTCGTTGGCCAGGGTAGTCTAATTATTAAAATGGCTTAGGACAATGTAATCCTCAGTTGAGATTAATTTAGTATGCTTTAAAAAAATATTGGCAACTTTAACATGCTGGCTGGAGAATTCTGGGAGTTGAAGTCCACACATCTTAAAGTTGCCAAAGTTGAGAAATGCTGCACTATGATATAAACAGTCTGTTCTGTGCTACACTCTAACAGCAAACACATTCTCTTAGATCACTCCATGAAATAAGATAAAACAGAGACAGAGAAGTATGGCTTCTGGGCTGTAAAAAGGAATTATTATTATTTTGCTATTTTTAGTGAATGGTAGAAAAGAAGAAGGATGAAAGTAGAACTGAGGAAGTGAAAAATTGTAGACAAACTAGCCAGTGAGAATAACAGGGCCTATACTACAGGACAGACAAATAGATGTGAGATTTCAGGATTATAGATTTGGGGATTAATTAAAAAAAACAAAAAGTATAAAATATAAATGGCAGGATAAATCTGAATATATTTCTTTCCTTCCTGCATGAATACATTCTAGTGAAAGTATGAAGTTGAGCAGCACTTGCTGCTCTGACAAAAAGGATTTGCAGGTGTGATTAAGTCATTAGCTAGTTGTTTATGCCAATATCTCAGAGCCCACTGCATCTCTTAGTGCCCATCACCCCCTCTGCTTTGTTCATTTGAATATTTCAACTTCTGCACACCTAGCAAGTCCATTGAACCTATGTCTACCATGAGAATCTGGGCAGTATGTTTAGTTTCTTATTCAGTGTCTTGAAGATTCAATTTAAAGGGAGATTCAGTCAAAGCTTTGCAAAGTTGGAAGAAGCCAAGTTCCTCAATAAACATTCAGCTAAGATGCATTACAATTGTGACTGTCAGTTTGGCTTGTATTTGCATCATCTTAATCCTTCTAGAACCTCTGTGATTTGACTATGCGGAATAAATCCACAATCTGAAAAACGCTAGCCAGATTCAAGCTAATAAGGCTCTGTTCTTTCTCTTTTCTTTGTCCTACATTTTATGACATTTTGATTTTATTATTTACGATTCCAGAAGCTGCTTTAAGATTTTTCAGCATTCAATTAGATCATTAGTTTTCTTAGGCCAGAAAAATGTAAATTATATGACCTTAAATAAACTAAGATGAAGTGATTGGGGTAATATGAAAACCCCTTCAAGAACTGGGCCCCATCAAATCTTTATGCTTGTTTCAAGATAGACAAAGCTGTATTTCAACTGAATTAAAGAAAAACCACTTAAAGGTATTTGAGGAATAATTAGAGGAATTTGACAGTCGGGCCAATTACTTAAAATGACCATCTCTTCTATACTAGATGCATTCAGGAAGTTCATGGCGCACTTGTCACTGTGACTTTGCAATCAATATGTTTTAGTTTTCTATTCAAGAGTTGAAAGTTGTGTTAAATGGACAGAATGTACAATTTTAATAGTGCTTGCATATGAGAAGTACAATGCAATGATCTTTTAATTACCCAGGAGAGCAATTTAATCCACTGATCTGTATAAAATGCTTCTTTGAGGAAATTCAAATTTTCCTTAAGGAAGATCTAGCACTTGAAATACCTTATCTTCATCACCTGAAAACCAGTCTATAATAATGTTATATACCTGATGTTGCTCTTCATGACTGGAAGCTATGTATGTATGTGGTATAGTATTCCTCCTTTCCTTCAAGGTATACATTAATTTTTGATACTTACAGATCTCTTTCCGTTTTTTCTTCTTCAAGAGAATTTAAAAACATTGTTTTACTTCTATATCACATTTGGTAATCTATGGATCTATGTTTAACTTTTAAAAGTGTACAAACTATTCATTCAGGAGTCTGGTAACAATAATCTAGCTGTTATTCTGGCAACTCAATAGGAGAAAGAGAGGTAAGGAAGGAAGGACGAATAAAAGTGAAAGTGCTGATACAACTGGTAACTACCATCATGACTATTACTAGGGGCTAGTAAAATGTAGAATAAATGTATCACATAAAAACAAGAAGTGTGAAATTAAAGAAAGATATCCAACATGGAGCAAATAGACTCCATATGATAAGTTGAGAACATAAGATGAATTTTACACCTGTGTTAAGTAAACCTGTAATTAGAAGCAATGCCATAGGAATATGAAGGGGCATAAGGAACTGAAAGCACAGCACAAAGAAATATTTTAGCAGATGAAATGTGTGTCTGTGTATCTGAAAGTAGCAGAGTAAGAATTATTGATAGCAACAGACATTGCAGAACATTGCCAGTCCTGTTTGCAAGCTTATCCCACTCTAGTACGCTTATGTCAAAGAGAAGACAGTGAGAGAAACCAGCCTTAGGGAGTGATGCACAGGAGACACTGCTTCATTTATAACCCCACACACAAGTTGGAAAAGATTCAATTTTAAAAAGCATTATGCTGCTTACCTTATGGGCCTCTGTGGATGGCAAAGTGAAATTGGATGAGTACAGCGTGTCCATTAATCATCAGAGAGATACCACCGTGAGAAACTACCCCTGTGGCTTATGTTCACTCGGCAGATAACATTTGAGTTTTACCTCCTAGTTACTGCATAGATCCAGTCGTCTGTTTCCTCTTTCTTGTCTCGTCAGAAATGAATGCAAACACCACTACAGATAGAGTGGTAAGTGACATATTTATCAAGTGGTAATGGGGAATGATTCCCAAATAATCAAGAACACTATCATAGACTTATAGATAACAAGCAGTTATCTGCCTTGCAATATACATTTATGAAATAAAGCAAAATAAATCACTGTAAGAGATACAGAAACAAATAATCTTCAAAATGTCTATGAAATATAAGTTTGCCTCAGAAAGAGCAGCCATTTTGTGCAAACTTCACAGTGTTTTTGCAACTTCTTCTATCCTTGTATGCTGTTTGTGTATGTCTTGTAAACTGGCCATGCTTTAATAATGTCTAACAGCAGTTGAGAAATGCACCTGTCATCCAATACTAAAATGCTATTACTCAGGCATTTAGTTCTCCCACTTTCCTTCATATAGTTGCTGTTCAAAATTAAGACGGCTAGATGGGAGAAAGGGGAAGGGAGGGGAAGGGATAAACTGAGCTTTACAAATGACTCAGGGTAGACAAAGGTCAAGGATAAAAATCAATTTTGTCTATTGAAGTTAGGAGAAACTCCTCCTAAGGTATCAGTCTCCATCAAGCTCTACAAATGGTTGAGCAATTTAAGAAACAAGTGCAAGTGACTAATCCACTTATTAAATTCTGATTTATGCCTCGATGAACAATAAAAAAGTAAAAACACTCGAGTCAAGCAGTTGTCTTGGCAGAGTTAGTGTTTAAATGTTTGCAAATCCTTAATTTTCAGTATTTCTACATAAACATGACCTAAAACATAACCTGTCCTCCATGCAATCTTACAACTGGATAAACAATGCCAATTAAAAACATTAAACTTGTTCCAAAGCTACATATTTGTGTGTGACTATGTTAATGTTTGCTTTAGTCACTGGCATGCCCCCACTTGAGTAGCAATAACTGCAACTAAATATTTCCAGTAACTGATCAGTCCGACAGATTGATATGGAAGAAATTTTAATGCATTTCTCCTTACAGAGTATCTTCAAACTGAGATGTTTGTTGGCTTTCTCACATGGAAGTGCTTACTTCCAGTCCTTCCACAACATTTCTTGAGGATTAAGGTCAGGCCACTCCAAAATGTTACTGAAAGCAAAAGTTTACATACATTTTGTAATAGACAAATATATAGCTTTGTATTCCTTTCCCTCAGCAAATAAATGAACAAGTATGTTCAAATTCATTTGTTTAATTGGTTTTCTCTTTATATAGTTCTAGCAATTGTGTGAGTGACAGATCACATTTTAGGTTGTATTTATAGAGAAATACTGAAAACTTAAAAGGGTTCATAAACTTTCAAGGATCACTATACAGAAATAGTTGGCCATTGCTTTCTTTCTCTGATCTGGCCAACAGTCTCAGAATTGCCAGGTAGTTTTTCATCGAAATTCAAGTCAGGGTCAGTCCTGCTTAGCATTTGCAATGGCCAATGGTTGCTTAGGTCAGTGAATATGGGGGAAGAGATGGATACATAGCAATCAATTAAACTCTTAATAAAATGAGTAGGCTTGCACAGGCTATATATTTACTTATGCACAATAAATGATCCTGTCCAAAGTAAAATGTATATTCTTTCCTACTTTAAAGCTAAAGAACTATTACAGGGATATGCTTTCTACGTCTCTCACTGTACATGCTCTGTGGAACAGCATATGCCTGAGACATTGATGGTCCCAATACTGATGGCCTTGTGCAATTATTCAATTTGGATTGGATTTGTGTGTGGCCTAGGCACGGCATATGTGTGTGTATTATTCCCTTTTTGATTTTATTGTTAATTTTAATATTCTGTTTGCTACCCAGAATCAAATAAATAAATCCAAAAGTGTAAATCAGATAATCCTCAAAAAATACAATATGTAGTGACCAGTTGGAAGATCCACATAATTAAGTATGGTTCAGAGCCAAGTTTCAGCAGAATTAACATCTGCTTTTAAAACTAACATTAGCAACGCATCTCTGTTGTACTTCTTGCTCCCTTTTCTTCATCTTGCTGCCTAAGATCAGGGTAGAGAGAGTAAACAGGTGCAGGCTATGGTTCTTTCTTCTTGTTTTTCTGTTAAATGCTCCCTTCTTTAGAAGTAAACAAGTGAACATGCAGCAACAGCAAGAAGCAGGAGGCTGGCGTCGGGCCCCCTACTGGGCCATGCATCTTGGCAAGTGGTCAGTAAGACAAGCCCTGTGGGTTAGATTCTTGGCTAATAAACATTTAAGCATATCTCCACTTCAGAAGGGAATTTCAACATAGAATCTATCAGATTTATTGCTTTCTGGAATTTCTGAGAAAGAAAGCAGTAGCCTTAAGTACAACAATCCTCTCCTACTCACCCACACAGGCATTTAATTGTGGATTTAAAATCTACAATATTTTAGGCTTAAGAAGGAGTACAGCAAATTTTTAACAGTCTGTAAAACAAAAGCTAAGTAAGACTTCCTTCACACTCTTAGTTGCCAATGCTTTTGTAATCAAGAGGCGCTGATGTTAAAAGTTCATGTGAACTGAGATGTGTTCAGATTTGGGTCAGCTGATGCCAGAGACTAGAAGGCATGAAGCGTTCAATCTTCTCCATCAAGAAGCTCAAAGGTGACAAGAGTGTTCCAAAAAACTGAAAGACAAAAAAAAGCTGTAATAAAAAATTATGCTGAAGTTAACAAGAGAGCTATTCATGGGTACATTACGCCAAACTTCGGCCTCTGAAGAAAAAATAGGAATATTTCCCAGCCTATGTCAGTGGACTTCAATGTGGATGGGAAATAGTCTAGGTATCCCACTATAATAAACTTGGGATATTGCCTGGCCAAGAAAAATTATCTCCTTTTCATTTTTTTAAACAAAAGCCTATATAAATATTTGTATAAAACTTAAATTTTTAGTTTGAAACATATAATCCAATAAATCTGAAGAAATGAAGCAGCTGGTACTTTAAAAATAAAGATTTAAAAATGATGAGCCAAACCTACAAAATGTTCCAACAAATAGGAAGATTTAACCAATGTTTACAGAAGTAGTAGGATAAAAAATATTTTAAATAAGGTTTGACTGAAATACAGCATATTCAGAACTTTAGTTTCATTATTTTAAAAATATCCTTATTAGACAAATCATGAAAAAGTAGTAATCTTGATTCTTAGTCCAACTGTTTAAACTGTTATAAAAAGCCTAGTATAAGAAATAGGCTTTGGTATTGGTATTGGACCTGGGTACTTGAGAGACCACCTGCTGCCAATTACCTCCCAAAGGCCCATTAGATCCCACAGATTAGGCCTCCTCTGGGTTCCATCTACTGGCCAATGTCATCTGGCTACTACCCAGAGGAGGGCCTTCTCTGTGGCTGCTCCGGCCCTTTGGAACGAACTCCCCGCAGAGATTCGGACCCTCACCTCTCTCCAGGCTTTCCGCAAAGCCGTTAAAACCTGGCTGTGCCAGCAGGCGTGGGGTTGACGAGTTCCCTTCCCCTCTCGAATCGTGTGACTGTTGACTGTCTTTTTAAATTCTCTTTGTACCTTGTTTGTTGTATTTCCTTCTTGTTTTCCTCCCCCCCCCCCGTGTGTTTGTTAGCCGCCCTGAGTCCCTCCGGGAATAGGGCGGCATATAAATACAATAAACCTTATAACTTTATAACCTTATAACTGTAGTTCTATGAATTTATTCAGCCATCATTTATTAATCATATTTTTACAATCATGATTGCTGTCAGCAATCTGAGGCATTTAGTAGATCATACATCATAAAATTGATCCAGAAAGTTAACATAGATGAAAGTCATGCCAACATGGACATATCTGTAGAGCTTTGATGCAGAATTTTAAAAAAGCTGTTCTTATAATTTAATTTAATTTAATCATACTACCAACATACTACAATTCTTCATGTTTCAAAAATTATACACAGAAACAGAAAAAAATTATCAACCTATGGATGCTATCCTTCTCTCACACCAATAAAATAAATTAAGATACAATTTATAAAGACACATGAAATTTATGGAGTTCTACTTCAGATGGTTTAAATATAGAATTGGTTCATTACACATTTTAAGCCATACACATTTCTTGTAGATAAGCAAAAGCTTCTAATGTTTATAAATCTGAGATGTTCAGCAGCTGTGGAACAGCTTAAGTCTTCAATGTCACTTAATGAGCCTTAACAAAACAGTAAAGATATTTATTCCAGTTCTAAAATCCAATCATACAATTAAAAAGACTGGGTTTTTGAGATTCAAGGATCACTATCTATTTTAGATCTAAATAGAATCCAGATCTTTTAAAAAAATGTGTTGAACCAAACAGATTAAATGGCAATTGGGTGACAATTTAGTGCAGTATAAAACTAATTTTATTTAAAAAGAATACTCTGAGGAAAACTTGAAATTTCATTTCGGAAAACTACTTAATACATGTTACAACAAGTGGAAAAAAAGAAATCAACAAAATTCTATAAGACTTAAATTCTGTAAAGCTAAAGAAATTAAGAGTTCCTCCTAAAACCAACAGAAGGCAATAGAAAATATAAATGCAGATTGTGCCAATGCCTTTTGATCAGCATTAGAAATGTCCACAATAAAAGCCATAAGATTACAACTGATATAGCTATGCCTATAGAACAGGGGTGTCAAACTCGATTTCATTGAGGGCCGCATCAGGGTTCTGTTTGGCCTTGCAGGACTGGGGTGGGCACTGTCAGTGTGAATGTGGTCAGCTTGACATCACTCATGTGGGGGCACGTGTGATGGCCTGAGCGCTCCCTCTGCCAACAAAAATGGGCTCGCGAGCTGCGACTGCCTCCTGCAACCCTCTGCTAGCAAAAACGGAGCCGAAAGCCTCAGAATTCACATATGTTCCCTGGGTCCTTGGACGAAATGCAAAGTCAATTTAAATGTTATGGGCTTGAAAACAAAGTCTACACAGTAATAAAATTGTTCTAATGTACTTTTTTCTTTTGTTTATAGTTAAATTACGCACAATTATTTTGGTAGTTAAGAGACAGCCTGAAATACTACAAGAAATTGATCCTATTGTTTTATATTTACATAGATAAAATCATTAGAACTGATGAATGTCTTTCTACAGTGTAACAATGTATGCAAGAAAACCATGTACGATTGGTATGCAAGAAAAATCATGCTGGCTTCTTAGAAAAGTTGAAATAAAAGAATTGTAGTGGAAATTAATATGCCATTAAGTATATACATCAATCAAATGAATCAGTACAGCAATCTGAAAATAAACTTTATTCTTTTTTTATCTAATATAATTTTTTAATGAAATATGACAGACTCAATATTTATTAGTCTATGTAATTTTTCTAAAATCATACTCTATATAGCTTGTTTATAAGAAAAGTTGGGAAGCAGTACAACAAATTATTACATAAGCATAATTTAAGCTAAATAGGTCATAAACATCTTGCCATAATAGAATTCTATTTTGCTATATTCAGATCAGGCAATCTCATTTGTGGCACTTAAAAAAGATCTCCAGCTCTTTTGGTTTTGATGGTGCTGAAAAGTTCATTCTAAATTAACTGAAGACCAAGTCTTCTCTAAAACATTAGCACTTAACAAAATATGCTGACAGATCAATAAATATAAAATACTATAAGCTAAAAACGTTCTTTACAGGACTTTTGATTGGAGGGAATGGGGATATTGATTATGCATGCTGTGAAGTTCACCCTGAAGAGTGTGGCTTTCATTCTCAGGTTCAATTTTCAAAAATGATGGCTTTTATATCCCCTCTATAATTAGAAGTTTCAAGCCAGAATATAGGCCTATATCTCCAATAAATTTTTCCTCTTGGATTTTGATCCAAGATGTTGAAGATCTTTAGGATCCCTTGGTTGTCCCAATCTCCTTTTGATTGTAGGTAGATCTCAATTCAGCCATAGCCTGAGCTTGAATAAGTAAATCAACTATTGGCTTTAACTAACATTCTTCCCTGAGGACCCAGACCTACTGACGCTATTAGATAATTTTTACTCAACTTGGAAGACCACCTTGGAAATAAAATTACAAAATATTGGCTTATCTATAACAGCTCTGCATTATTTGGGTTTTTCCAAAGTTAAAGAAATTGCCAAACAGCAAATAATTGATTTGCACAGATAATGCTGGGAACTTCTTCTTTTTAAGATTTGGGGGAGGGAGGTGCTAAAATAAACCTTTTGCCCTGCTAAATATTAAAACAATCTTGCTACTGCAAAATAGTGTAAGGGTTTTTTTCCCTAGCACATTTTAGCATGTCTTCATCTTTCCTGGAAGATATCTCTTCAACTCAGAGGGAGGGTCTGTCCCTGTCATTTGGGAACAAGTGGAACTATGGGCCATGTACTGCTGTGTTACAAATTTTGTTACTTGCATTTTACTTTATTTTTAAGCATGTTCCCCAGTAGAGTACATCCTACATTTAATTTCTTCTTGACCACCATAATAGTGATTTACCTTTAAATTGCCAAAAAATTTTTCAATTGGATTATTATTTCATTCAGCTGGATTGTTGAATTACTGGAACATGAGGACTATTATACAATCTAATCACAAACAAAATATGTAATCTGGCAATTGTATTTTAAACAAAAAACTATTTTGTTTTACCCTGTGTTATTTTACATTACTCTGAGTATGTTTTTTGATAACATTGTAAAGTATTTTTACAATTTAGTCATTTAGTCTTAAATATATAATTTTTCATACATTTTATTTTTTATAATATAATCAGAAATTTTATGGATACATACATACATACATACATACATACATACATACATACATACATATGCATGCTATTCTGAACTGTAAGCTGTCAAGTTTTGCAATATGCTTATCAGCAAAATCATCAGGAAGCCAATTTCACAACAACTGTGTTACTAACTTAACTGCAGTGATTCCTTTAACTGACAAGAAAAGTTGTAAAATGGGACAAAATTCATTTAAATGTTTTGCTTTCACAAATTTTGGGGGTCAATGGTGGTTGTAAATTGAGGCGTACCTGTACATTACTGAAGTCATACCAAAAATATTTAACAATATATTGTATGCTGACCAATCCGTCATTAGATAATTAGCAGTTCCAAGCAGTGGGAACATTGTTTCTTTATCTTTTATAAATGCTATAGGTATTTGTTTGCATATTTATGAATGTCAGTCATATTAGACTTATATTATACATTTATATCAGTAAAATATGATTTATTCAGACAATAATAAGTTTAGTTTTGCCACAAATTTTATTAGTTTATAAAAATATAAATACAAAAATAGAAAATGAAAATAAGAAAGCAAGAAAGAAGGGGAAGAGAAAAAGTCTGGGGTAAAAAGGAAAAAAGAAAAGCATTGACTTTGACTTTTTAGTACAGTAGAATAAGATGATAACATGTAACCTCATTTTTTTTTTACTTTTATAACATTTTATACTAATAATTTCTATAACTACAAATCTATCTAATCAGCAAATTCCAATAATTATTTTATTGACTGAATGTACTTTAAAATGTACTCTTTCTTTGGAGAGAGAGGAAAAGATTCTTAGCTCTAAGCAATATCCATCATATTTAATTCCTTAAAAAGGCAGGTTAGTAAACTGTATAAAACAGACATTAGAATAACTA